ACAGATCACATTAAATCACTTCCCTGCTTAAAACACTTCTGGCAACTTCCCTTTACACTAAGAATAAAATCCAAACTCATCACTGAGGCCCCTGCCTGTCTCTGACTTCACTCTCCTCCTGAACCATTGCCATTACTCATTGGGCTGCGGCCAGATCCACGGACCTCCCCTTGGTCCCTTGAACAACACACTCATCACCACCCCAGGATCAGTTTGCTTTTGGCTCTTTCTCCCAGGTCTTTGTGTGGTCAATACCTTCTCCTCTCATACCTTGTCCAACTATTCCCTCCCCAGAGAAGAAGTCCCTAGCTTCCTTATCTGGAAAACACTCCAATCCCTTCTTGACCCTGTTGTATTTCACATCACTGGGGTTCTCTGGTTTACCTGTTTGTTTATAACAATCTCCCAAACCCCTCCTCCCATCAGAAATAGGGACCATTCCTGAAACCAGGACTTAAGACTATTTGGTTCAGCCCCAAATATCACATCAGGCAGAGAGAGAGAGCAGCCATAAAATATTTGTTGGAAAAATAAGATATATTAAGAAAACATGTTTATTTATTTGCTCATCTGTCTCCTCCACAGGTGGTGAGCCCCATGAATATCCAGGCTTGGTCTATTTGGTTTGCTGGCCAGTCTTCTGAACTGTACTTGATTTATGGTAGACGCTTGTATTAACCATGCCTTTGGTTTTTCATATTCTGATGCTTTAACTTCTGGGAGCCTTACTGACCCTGCAGGATTGCCCCTCCCAGAGTTAACCCATTGCTAGGGACAGTAAAGACTCACCCTAGAGCATGTGTTTCCAGTGAAGTCCATTAGTGCAGAACCCACATCCACAACACCTCCTTTATTGGGCTCTCTCACTTGGGGCCACTATCCCCTGCCCCAGGTCCAGGTGACAGATAGCTAGGGACAGCCCCTTTGCCCCCAGAGCCTGTGGAAATTATCCAAACTACCCAATCCTAAGCCTGCTTATCCTGCCTTGCCCATTCCTTCCCATGGAAAGCACAAAGATGGCTCTCACCCACATTCTCCCCTGGTTCCCTCTGCTTCCTGACCAGCCCCAGTGTTTCTCCATGTGGGCCTGCATGTTCTGCCTCCTGTTTCTAGGGACATCTGGGTTATAACCAAGTTCTTTCTTCGTGACAGTCATTATCATGCCTGCCTGTCTACAATTAATTGAAACAAATCCTGGGGACCCTTAAAACAGCCTTCAATAAATATTTGTTGAATGAATGAATAAATTTATTCAACAGCTGTTTGCTGGGCACCCGCTATGTACTGTGGGGTCACAGAGCTGGGTCATTTGCTACCCCAGCTCTCAGGGTGTTAAGATATTCAGAGAGAGGAAAGGAAGTGGGGGGAGGGCAGAAAAGCTGCTATGACACTTGTCACTCACCAAAGGTAGCATTATATTAACAACAGCTCCCATTTATTATTTACTATGTGGAGAGCCATGTACTTTATTCATTTATATACATTATCCTGTCTAATCCTCATGATATCCTTAGGAATGAAGCATCATCCCACTTTCCATCTGAGAAGCGTGAGGCACACAGATGTTAATTGACTTGCCTAAGGTCACATGGCTAATGAATGGCAGAGTTTCAAACCCACACCTTTGGCCTCCATTTAGGATCTTCTGTCACTAGAGGTCCTAAACCATGCAATAACGCAAGGGGGGAAAAGGCATCCCAATGGGAAGGAAAGAGGCAAAAGCATGCTTGATTATTTATTCACAGACAATATGATCAGGTACAAAGCCCTAAGGAACATACAAGGACTCATGATGAATACCTGAGTCTTGCTAAATTGGAGGATTCAAGGGCATTATATGCTTCGTCCTTGAGGGATATGCAGAAAGCACTTTGGACTGAATCTTCAGACTGACTAGGAGGTGTTGTGGACAGACAGCTTCTGGAGTTGGACATCAGAGGTGAAACCTTGCTTGGCCATTCAGTGACTGAGTGCCAGGACATATGACTTATCCCTCCATGTCTCAACTTTCTTTTATTTCACATGGACATTCAATAAAAATGCATCAGGAGAAAAGTGGGACAGTGGTAGTGCATGGGTATGTGGAGATCATTCACAGAATACATGTATTTAAACACTGTGCACAGGGGCTGGGGATACGGCTCAAGCAGTAGTGCGCTCGCCTGGCATGCATGCGGCCCGGGTTCGATCCTCAGCACCACATACCAACAAAGATGTTGTGTCCACCGAAAAAACTAAAAAAAAATAAATATTAAAATTCTCTCTCTCTCTCTTTCTCTCTCTCTCTCTCTCTCTCTCTCTCTTTAAAAAAACAAAAAACAAAAACAAAAACAAAAAAACACTATGCACAGAAATTGCTTCAAAGATTTGCCTGCCTTTGTCTGGAGGCCAGAGTTCTGCACTCCAGAAAGGGGCTTAAGGCTTCTGCTCCAATGCACAGCCCTCCTTCCAGTTTGAAGGCTCCTCAGGACCACAGTTCACAGCTTCTCATTCTTGTGTCCCAAATGCAAGCCCTGGCACACATAGCAGTACTCTTCTGGGCAGGCAGGTCAGTCAGCATGCCGGAGGCTTGGGACTGCAATTATAGCATATTGACACCAGGTGGGTTCTGGAGCCTGGGCGTGACCCCTGTGGTAGGATAGCTGAGACTTCGTGGAACAAAATTATCTATAAAGAACAAATTAGATTTTTGTTCAAAAGGCCCATTGCCTTCTTTGCCATCTGACTCCTGCAGGCCTTTCTTCAGGACTCTAGCATTACTTGCTGGGAGACCAACATGTGGGCCAGGAGGAAAGGGGACTCCGGACACATAAGATTTGATCTAGGGAACAAGAGACCTGGGTGGGTACTGAAGTGCAAGAAGGGTAATGTAGGGTCCACCAGAGGCGTTGGAATCCTTCAAAGGAGAGGCAAGGTTTGGGAGGGAGGAGGGGAACCAAGGGTGACTCCTGCTGCTGAGCATAGGGAGCAAACCCATGATGCTATCTGCCTGTAGGCTTCTCTGCCTGTGCCCCTCCTCCACGGTGCAAGATTAATCTCCCAAAGCTTTAGGAGGATTTGGGGCATACCCTCTGAACTTCCAAACAGGGACAGCCTCTGTGTGCTAGTGTGAATTCCCAAGCATCTGTAGGTGTGTGCAGCTATTCAGCAAGTGCACAAGTGAACGAGGAAGCAGAGAAGCATGCCCATGAGAAGCTTGAACACACAATCTGTTGGAAGGGTGGCACATGCTGGAGCACAAACTCAGACTCACACTATCCAGCCTGCACACTCTCACTGACCAAGAAGTCCTGGATAGGAGAGCCCTGTCTAGCCTTATGTTGTCCATGAAGTCTCTCAGACCTAACCTGACAGCCTTCCTGCTCCCTGGTCTTCTTTTAAGTGGCTCTGGTGCCAGGCACTTGGAAAGTCTAGGCCTTGGGAGGGCGCTTGGTGGTCATTTTGGTCCACCCCCATTGGTTCCCTGAACCCCTTCAATTTGGTCATAAAAGTTAAAAAAAAAAAGTGTTTGGGAAAATAATAAATGAGGTGAGTCAGCTGGAAGCCAAGAGAAATCTGCCGGGTCCCTTCTATGACTTCCAGATGTGCACTGGGGCCCTTCTCTTTGGGCTTTGCCCCTAGTGTGACACCAAGAGCACAATGGTGGATTACAGCCCCCGTGAGTGGAACAACCTCACCAACCCCCTTTCCAGCTTCTGAGCACTTTCTATATTTCCTTCTCATGAAGACAGAAGTAACCACCCACTCAGATGCCAGGTGATAAATGTTCCAAGTAATTTTTATTTTAGAATACAAGAGAGGTACAAATGTATTTACAGTTGTACATATACAATCAAATAATATATATCACAGTTTGTAAATATCATTTTAAGATAAATATTTACAAAGTTAAAGTGACCATTTTCTGGAATTAGAACACGGTTTCTTGAAAACTCTATACACTTTATACTTTTTATTAATATTATTATAGTTTGTTTTTTTTTTTTTTTTTTTTTTAATTTTACAAAACCCCCTACGGGAATTCTGCAAGGTGTGAGACGACACCAGAGGGCGCCCACGGCCGGAACTGGAGAAAACATGGGCAGGTAGCAGGGAAAGTGTGGGCAGGCGGGTCGCAACCCCTGGGATCCGTCGCAGCTGGGAACTGCTTCACCCGTAGAGAAGTCAACCTAGTCAACGCAGTCTTGCCCTGCTCTTGCTGGAGGGTGCGCGAAGGGGTAAGGATGTGGGTACCTCTCCTTTCTCAAGCTTGACATCAGAGCTGAACAGGAGGCTGGTCCAATTCCCTCATTTTACAGATGGGGAAATTGAGGCCCAAAGAGGGCAGGGTCTTGTCTGGCTCGGAGGCCCTACAGTGGATTCGCAGTGCCTGCACTCTTATCCCTCTTATACACTGCAAAGTATTCGTGCCTCATTCATCCCCAGGAGCCACGTTCGGGATAAGGTGGCCTACAGGAAAGAAGGGCCCAGAAATCTCAGATCTCTCCGGGTCACTGCTGGCTGCCCCCAGGCCCCAATAGCTCCCAAATCTCAAGATTGTGTCTTTGACTCCGGACACCCCAGGACCCCGATCCCAGAAGGCAGAGATGGTGGCTCTCCCTTCACTCCGAAGCGTGGGGCTCTGTGTGGGGACGGTGGGAGCTGAGTGCCCTMGGAGATCTTCCGTCCTCTCTCCTGCCACCCACCAGAGCGATGCCCGCTTGGACTGACCACAGAAGGGACTCCGGGGTGAGGCCGGGCATGGAGACCCCTCCCAAGAGAAGGCGCGGCCAAGCATCCAACACCAGCCAGGTGGCCTGGAAAAGGGACGTCGCCCCTCACGTCCTCATTGAGAAACTGGGCGAAGAGTGTTCCGGGGGGTCATTTCTGGGGCTCAGCTACGGCGGGCGAGGACGTGCCCGTGGCAGCGTACGGCGAGAGGGTCAAGTCTGCAGAGCGGGGAGGCCCGCGCGGCGGAGGTCCGGGAGCGCGCGGGGCAGGCGCGGGAGCGGGAGCGGCGCTCACAGCACCATGGCCGGCAGGTGGTGCGCCGCGGCGGCGGCAGCGGCGGCGGCGGCGGCGAGCGCGGGCGCGTGCGCATGCGGCGCAGGCAGCGCGGGCGAGTGCGCCTGCAGCGCGGCGCTGGGCGGCCGGTGGCGCGCGCTCTTCTGGTGGGCGCGCAGGCCGGCCAGCTGCGAGTACGCGCTCTGGCACACCTGGCACTTGTAGGGGCGCTCGCCCGTGTGCAGGCGCACGTGATTGCGTAGCGTGGACGACTGGCTGAAGCGACGGTTGCAGAAGCGGCACACGAAGGGCTTGTCCAGCGTGTGGATGCGCATGTGCGAGCGCAGGTTGCTGCGCGAGTTGAAGCCCCGGTGGCAGATGACGCAGCGCATTCGGCCCGCGGTGCCCGCCGCCGAATCCGCCGGGTGGAAGTCCTCTGGCCGCGCGAGCGGGGCGCGGGGCCGACGGGGCGGGCGGGGAGAGGAGAAGAGAGGAACAGCCCCGTTAGAACCCGCGTCCTCCCCAGGCTCTCCGCGCCCTCCCCACCCACTGCCCGGCAGCCTCCGGCGCTGCGTGGGTCAGGGCTGACGGGGCCCTGCGCTGCCGACCGACTTAAGGGCCAGCTAAGGGCCTGGCTTGGGTCAAATGGGAGCTGGATGTCAGATTACGCTGGGAGACCAAGGGGACTTTTCGACTCAGCCTCACTAAACCTGAACTTACTCGTCCCTAATATGGGAACCTGGTACTGTCTCTGCAGCTAGGCGCGATTTCCTGAAATGAGTAGGAAAACTGTCTATTAAGTTTTTTCTGTGCTAAACTCTTTACCAACCTCAGCCTATGTATGACCTGGCTTACGGTATAAAGGATAGCAACTAGGAAACACCCCGCCGAGAAAAATCATTTATTCATCTCATAAATATTTACTGAGTGCCCTCTGTATCCATGAACTGCTCCTCAGTTTTGCCATCCCTGAAATGGAGGTAGTAATAGCGTTACCCCCATTAAGTCGGTGGTAGGGATCAGAAATTAATGTTTGTAAAGCATTAGCTGCAGAACAAATTGTTCCACAAACAGTAGTTAGTGAGCCGTAGGTCGTCGCCTAAAATTAGGGATAATCAAATTTCACAAGGGTTTTGTAAGCCCCCATTGGAATGATGCTCATCAAAAGATTTTCATTTCTGACCCAAGGAAACCAGGGCTAGTCCAAAGCTTGGCACAATAAAAATCTCAAGCTAATGAGCTCTGTTGTGATGGGCACTATCCCTGGAGTCAGGCTGTGTGCCCTGCCCTCATTCCAGCAGTTCATTCCGAGCAGCTACTGTGTTCCTGGACAAGGAAGCAGGCAGGACAGGCTGTGTGCAGAGTTGGAAGGGAACTTCGGGATCTCCTTGCCCAACACCTTTTCTTTATTGATGAGGAAATTGAGGCACAGAGCCATTCCCAAGATTGAACAGCAGAACTGGAACTCAATACAGCCTCCTACTGCCCTGTCCATTTCTCCTGCCATATCCCATCGCCTCTCTGGGGTCTCCTGCACCTGCACCTGCACCTGCACCTGCCCCCAGACAACCTATTCTGGTCAGAAAGCAAGAGGATTGTCTTCCACCCACACTTGGACCATGGTGGGCATTCCAGGAACACCAGGCGCATTGGGTCAGTAGGTCCCATCTGCTGGATGCCCGTGAGGTTGAACCAGGTTCCCAGGAGGCTCCCTGCCCCTTCTTCCCCCTAGTGGAGGGATGCTCTGATGGGTCTTGTCTCTGTGGCCCTGTGGGGAATACCTACCATGTTTGTTCTTTTTCTGCTCCTCCTCCAGTCCTGGCACACCCGGGATGCCCAGGAAAGTGTTGTGGGAGTTTCCATACCACACCAGCAGCTCCTGATCCGGAGGGATCATCTGTAGGGATGGAGGTGAGAGGTCAGGGAGGCAGCAGCTGGGGAGTGGGAGGCAGGAGTCTCTAAACATCCCCTCACGGCCAGGAGATGTGCATCCAGCCTCAGCCCCGAGAATGCCACACCTGCTCCATGTCCACTGATCTGCCCCAGCAAGCTGCACAGACTGGGCAGGTGCCGGAACATCACAGCCCTCTGCTCCCTCTCCCTGCCTGGACCTCCTGAACATCTCTGTCCTAACTCCACCGCAACAGAGTGTTCAAGCAACAGAAGCCTCACAGCGAAAAGAAGTAACAGAAGATGGAAGCCAGAAAACTTCATTTCTTATCCAGGGAAAACAGCCAGCCCAGCGCTGCAGGGCTGAGCCAGATGTTTCGGAGGAGGAGTGTGGGCTGGAGGGCGCCCTGTGGTGCTTGGTTACACCCTGTCTGATCATGTTCTGGAAACATCTCTAATCCCGAGCACCCACAGACGGCAGCACATCACACCTACTTCCCCTGCCCAGCACAGGGCCCTGCGTGGCTCCAGGCATTTGGCAGATGCTAAAAAAGAAACTCAGGTTGACAAACGCCTCCACTTCAGGAAGCACCAGGGTACACACAGCCTTCCACGAAGTCTATTTCAGCATGCTCTAGGTCCATGACCAAGAACTGATGCTAGGACTCAGCTGCTCTCAGGGGAAGACCTGCACGGGAAATGGCTGTTGACTAACCAGGGAGACCAGCAGGCCTGCTCTTGAGTCAGCACAGGGGGCCATCCCCAGGGGCCCTCTTGGCCTTTGGTGAAAGCCAGTTACCTCTCCCGAGTCGGGGGCCTTCAGCCCCAGCCCGGTCAGACACACAAGAGAAGGGACAGCCCATCATTCTCCTGAGGACCGGCCCCAGAAACATGGCTGTGGCACGTGCCCTGGGATTCCCTGAGGAACAGCCCCAGACAACAGCTGCTCTGTCTTCCTGGTGGGTCCTCTTTTAGTTGAAGCACAAAAAAAAATTACATAGAATTCCACATAGGGGTGTCTGAAGCTCCCCTTGGTCTTCATGGCCAGGGAGTAGGCCCCCTCCTCTTCGGACTGGGTCCAGCCTGCAGAGCCCTGCCACACTCAGAACCCTTGGGTTCACCTTGTCTTCCTTCCTCTGCTCAGAGCCCAGAAGACCCTCAGACCATCCCGGCAAGCTCTGTGCTTGACCTTGACAGGAGGGAGCAGGAGAGGAGGAGTGGGGGCAGGGAGGCATGAGGGGCCTGRGCAACTGTATCCTCCTGAGACAGCCCAGGGCCACCAGGCCCTTTCCCACTCAATCACAGGGCACCGCAGCCCACGACCAGTGAGTACCACGACCAGCAGAGAGTACCACACCTACCGTGATTGCGTGGGATTAAATGTGGAAACCAAGGGAAATTAGGCAGAGCTTCAAAGAAAGCAGGCAGTTTAGATTTTGGCACCACAGCCAGCGTCACTGTGGCCTCTCTGGTCATGGCTACTGTTCAAGAGGCCAGTGGGTCAGAGTTGGAGGCCCATGTTAGAAAAGGAACAAGAAAGAGGTTTTTTGAACCCATCAGAAAAGTGGGTGATAGAACTCACAATAATTAAGATGCTTTGTATAAGAAGCTACTCTACAGGATGGTGCAGATGGGCTCTAAGTCACTGGGTCCCTGCATGACCTCGGGCAAGTCACTCTGCCTTTCTAAAGTTGTCTCCTAAAATGAGGATGGCATTAGGTCCCCCAACCCAATGAATCTGGTTGTAAGTTACCTCCAACATCATCCCATCCCCTGGCTTCAAGTCTCAGTGGAAACCTGACCCAACAGCCTGGGGCTTCCTCTAGATAGTCAGCTCCCCAAACCAACTGCACTTGCTATCCAGAGACAACACTGCAAGGGGTTTAGGCTCAGCCTGGAGCCAGGCATGGCGGGGTCCACTCAGACTCCCCACCTGCTAAGTGAGTGACTTTGGCTGGCAGCTTCATGTCATGGGGTATCAGTTTCCTCCACTGTATGTATAATAGGGACAGTCTTGTTGCCCCAGCCTCCCTGCATGGTTGTTGGGGCAACAAGGCCGCTCGCAATAAAGCTCTGCACAATGAAGACACAGAAGGGCCAGTTATTATTTTCTCTGACTCACCCATCTCAGAGAGGCTGGCAGTGATCTGGCACATCATGTCCCTGCAGCAGTGCCCACAGAGCCTGCAAGGTGGTATGGGGCTGTTGACACAGTGAAAGCTCAGGGTGACTAGGGACTTTGCTTTCCATGTGCCCAAATGCCTCAAGAACAATAGTCCCCCACCAGTATGTCTCAGTTCGCTGGCTCCATCTCCCAGGGAGAGAAGCCCACCCCTCCAGGACAGCTGTGGGAGGGAGGGTGGGCCAGCCCCGGCTGATGCTGCCCTAAGTGAGGTCTCGGCCTCCAGTCTTAAGGTCCGGGAATCAATTACTAAGTTGACACTGGCCTTTCCATTTTAATTGAAAATAAAAACTATTATTAAATGCAAAATAAATGTAATAAAAAATAATAACAATGGGAATGGTGGATGAAGATCAGAACATCTTGGCTTGTACATATCTTGATTTTTTTGTTTTTCAGTACTGGGAATTGAACCCAGGAGCACCCTAGCCATGTAAGCTACCTCCCTAGCACCAACTCCCACCCCGCTACCCTCGTGCTTTCTTTCTTTTTGAAAGTGAGGGTTTTGCTAAGTTTCTCAGGCTGGCCTTGAGCTTGTGATCCTCCTGCCTTAGCCTCCTGAGTCACTGGAATGACAGGTACATGCACGGTGCCCGGCTGAAGTCTTGCATATTCTTATTCAAAATTATTGTTTGTAATATAATATTTAAAATAAGCAGTTCAATGGGAAGGTGTAGTATAAGGTGACTCATTTTTTACTAGAATATTTTTAATGTACTAAAATTAATTTTACTCATTAACCTAACAGTTAAAGCACATGGGCATAAATGTATAAGCATGCAACAGGGTAGATAAAAAAAGTAACTCTCCCACTCTGGATGCCCAGCTGCTGCCGCTGGTTCTCTAGGTGTCTTTCCCCAGAAGGATTTGGTATGAAAAAAAATGCTGATTTGAGGTTTGAGCAGAGAAGCATCTTGGGATAGAGTGATTTCACTTTTACTTGATTCATCTGATTTTTTAAAAAGTAATGAGCACATCTATTTCTTATACACACACACAACAAAACAACGATCTTAAAAGAAGGARAATCTATTACAAATAACCTACGGGGGACCAGGGTTGTGACTCAGTGATAGAGTGCTTGCCTCACATGCATGAGGCACTGGGTTCAATGCCTGGCACCACATAAAAATTAAAAAAATAATAAAATAAAATAAAGATATTGTGTTTAAAACTAGAACTAAAAAAAGAAAAAAGAAAAAAAAAAAAAGAACCTACGGGAACTGAGCATAACACATTCCCCAGACAGCGGCAAGCCATCTTCAGAGGGCTGGGGTAGGCTGCCCCATCTGCACAAAGAAGGGGAACCAGGAGTTCCTCTGTCCTTCAGGGTCCTGGACCCTCGCCTCTGGGCTCCAACTGCTTCCAGGCATCCCGCATCCAACGAACTCCTGTGATCAAGCCCAAGAGGCCCTGGAACCTTCAGCTTCTAGTCCAAAATCCTGAGGCTTTCAATATCCCACCAACTAAGTGCAGGGAGTGCCTAGGTCCCCTGCAAGGGCCTGTGAGTATTCCCACTGCTGACGCTCAGGCTGGTCCAGCCAGAATGTCTGGGGCTCAGAGAACCAGAATCAGCCAGTCATTTGCCTTTCTGGGGAGCAGAGATTGGCTCAGACACACCCTGATTAAAGCAATCCCCAGAGAACCAGTCCCAGTGTACAATCCACATCCTAAAACTTTGGGAGAAATGTCTATACCCAATCTTGTTTTGACAAATTTTAAGACCTCTGAGCTCATTCTCTGGAAACTTCCTGATCAGTCCAGTTTATCCTGCTCCACTTTTTTGCATTTTTAGCTTAAATTGGAAATAATAGGCTTTGCAAGGTTTGTTTTCCTAATACAAATTCATGACACACCATTGAATATGTTCCCAGGAGACTCCGAGGCCCTCCCCTTCCCCTCATGGGTAGAAGCCCTGGCGTAGAAGGATCTCAGTGTCATCTGGCCGAACATCAATTTCCATTGTACACAGATGTCCTGACACACCAATTAATAGAGTTCCAGCAAATAGATATTGGCCAGGGAGGCCACACAGCCAGGCGATCAAGACCAGCTCTGCAGCCAGAGAGCCCTGGTTCTAATCACAGCTCAGCCTTCACCATAACCTCCAAACCTTAGTTTCATCCTCATTAAAATGGGGAGAGTGGGCTATGGTATAGCTCAGTGATAGAGTGCTTGGTTAGCATGCACAGGCCCTGGGTTTAATCACTAGAACTCAAAATAAATGAGATAAAATGAAATGGGGATAGTAATAGCACTTCATGGGGCTGACCAGATTATATTTTTAAAAAGTGCATAGCTGGGGAGTAGTTCAATAGTAGATTGCACAAGGCCCTGGGCTCAGTCCCCAGCACACCCCCCCAAAAAGTTTCTAAGACCTTTTAAAAAGGACCTAGGACAGTGCCAGCATATAGTAAATGCTCCACAGATGGTAACGTTATTAGATTATTAGTGATGCTAACTATTACTAATCAGAGCAATTTAAGTGCATCCACCAATGAGCAAGGTCAAAAGGAAAATGGCATTTGTCCCCGTAGATCCAAGAAAAGAGAGATGGGACTCTAGGAAGAAATTAAAAGTTCAACTGCCTGAGATGAGAAGGAAAATAGCAGGAAAGAAAAATCTACATTTCAGGACACAATAGTTCGTCAAAAGGTAGGGAAGGAAAAGACCTAGAATTTTTTTTTTCTGGTGAGAAAATCCAAAATGGTAACAACTTATTTCTAAATTCTTTTCTAGTGCTGACTTTTTTTAATTTTAGTTTTTATTTTTTTTGTAGTTGTAGATGGGCAGAATGCCTTTATTTTATTTGTTTATTTTTACGTGATGCTGAGGATTGAACCCAGTGCCTCACACGTGCTAGGCAAGCACTCTGCGGCTGAGCTACAGCCCCAGCCCCCTAGTAAAAAAAAAAAAAAAAAATATATATATATATATATATATATTTTATATTATAATAAAATATATATACAACTAAATATATATATATATATTTAGTTGTAGATGGACACAATACTTAATTAATTTATTTTTATTGGTGCTGAGGATCGAACCCAGGACTGCACAAGTGCTAGGCGAGCACTCTACCACTAAACAACAGCCCCAGCCTTAGTGCTGACTTTTGAGATCAGTCTTGCTTCTTGGGCCAGTCAGTCATGTTCTGGAAGAATGGGGTTCCTGTGGGTACCTCTTTTGACTTGACCCCCATCACCTGCAGAAAGGCATTCAACATTTAGTTCCTCTTGCTATGCACTGGGCATTTTCTAGAAAGGCCATTTTAGGCCCCGAGGCTGGAGTAAGTTCCTGTAACTGAAGTAGGCCCAGGGAAGTAAGCCCAGGCAAGAATAACACCTGAATAGATTCAGCCAGATGCAAAATTTTCCCACAGATTCATCTGTGCTTGGAAACCCCACAGCCTTTGTCTCCTTTGGGAGGGCCATGATTTTGTCTGGGAAAGTCTTAGTGCAGCAATAGTATATTGTGCTTATTGACTAAAGATGTCCTTCCCCCTTTTTGGCAAGTAGAGGGTTAGTGTTATGAAATATAAATAGCACTAGTGAGTGGCAGAAAGATTAAGAAAACAGATCACAGCAAAGGTCCTTCTCCTTGGCTAACCCCACATACTCGCAGAACAAACAGCTGATTTATTCCAGAGACATCTGGGGAGTGGCCTGGGTGGCAGCGATATGTCCAGTAGGGCTGCGTGAGTGCTGCGCCTCGGCCCTGCCCCGATGGTGGTCATGTGCAGCCTGACACACAATTGATCTGGTAAGTGTACTCTGACAATTTGACAAAATGGTTTTGAGAAAATTGCTACCTTGAAAAAAGTGCCCAACTTCATTCATGAAAAGTAATTTGGGGCATTTTGTATTTCCTTGTCCCTCCCTCTCTCAAACAGTTCCTTTTTCCTTTTTAGCCACATCAGAGGAACCTATCTGAAGCATCCATATCATATATACATCATATCCTTGCATCTACTTAAATTTCTGGTTAAATGTAGATGAACTTTCCCCTGATCATATAAATTCCAATCCCTCCCTGGAGATAGCCGTCAGCCACTTAGCCCTCTGACTCTGCGTTTCTGTATAAACATCTATTCGTGTGTCTGGGCCCTGTTTGAATCTCCTGCTCCCGCACAGCAACGTGAGACTCAGACCCCATGTCTGCACCAGCCAGGAGTCCTCTTGCCAGGATGGCACAGGCATTGCTGGCCAGTGTCCCTGTTCACATGCGTGTGTCTTCGTGAGAGGGGCAGGATGACTGTGCGGCCCTCCTACGTCAGGGCTGGGACAGAGGTGACTGTGGCAGTGTATAGAATAAGAGGGAGCCTTGGGAAGATGTGAGTGCTCAGGAGGATACACTCTGAAAAAAGTGGGGTTCAGCTGCTCCAGAGGCCAATGCTAGGAGGTAGTGTTCCAGCAGGATGGTCACAGGAGCAACCCCTGTCCTGCCTAGGTCTCTCCTGATACCCACCCCCATCCATCCTAGCTCTCCTCTCGGGGCTCCTGTGGAAGACCTGTTTGTTCATCTTTATATTTACCCTCTCTTTCTGGTCCACTGAGGGTCACCTCTAAGCTGGGACTCAGTTCCTGGTCACACCAGGCCCAAGCAAAGGCTGTCCTGTTATCATCCCTGGAGAGTCCCTGGGACCTGGTTATTCAGGGAGAATATGAGTCCCAGAAACTAGTAGGCCTGAGCACCCTGGGGCATCTTTTAAAAAGCTTGAGGTTCTGAGTCCCAGGGAGCAAAGGAAGGGGATTAAAGGGAAGTCCTTCTCTGGCTCCTCCAGACCACTTCTAAATCTCAACCAAGCTTCAGCCCCACCCCAAAGGGCCTTGCTTGCCCCCCATGTGGGAACAGAAGCATGAGGTCCAGAGAAGAGTCATAGGACAGCCCCCACCATGCCACAGAGTACTCAGGCCCATCCCACTCTCTAGGACCAGACACAGAACCAAATTTCCCACCAGGGACACTGACCGGGGAGAATGCCGGCTGCAGCCACCTCAGCTACTACCATTCTGCTTGCCCTACACTAAGCATTACCGTCCCCACCCACACTCCCTCAGCTTCTCTGCCCCTGCCCAGCATCTCCCTACCTGCCAGGAACACCTCCTTTCCCATCCTCCTCCTGACCTTTCCCAGGTGCTGCCCCTGGCTTAGCCCTCACCCCCTTCAAAAGCCCCTGGAACACCATGGAAAGGGGCATCTGTCCATCTGCCACCTTCCTTGCTTCTCTGAAAAAGCTCACAGCACAGTCATTAGTGCTGACATTTCCCCCAGATTCCCTGCAAGAGCCCCCAGCTCTGCCTGCCGCCAAGTGAGACCTGGTTTCTGTGTCTGTAAACTCTACTAATCTCAATCCTCCCCGCAGGGTCATGTGAGGATTAGATGTGATAATGCGTATCCAGCGTCTGGGAGAAGCCTGACACAGCGAGCTATCGCCGACACGCGAGTCATGATCCACAAGTCACCAGCAAGCCATGCATGCAGAACAAGGGACAAGGCTCAGCTAAATGCTGGGCATGCATACGCCCTCTCCCACCCAAAAGCCTTCCCCACCCTCCACTCCACATCTCCCTCTCTGGGTCTCTATGACTCTTGAACCCCAGCATGCCCTCAATCAATTCCCAAGAACTCACTATTGAGATACCTGGGACATTCACAGTGGCACAACATTGAAATCTCTACCCTTTCTGATCTGCAGCAAAAAGCCCCCCATCAGAACATGCTCCTGGAGACCATGATGCATGAACTTCAGCCCTCCAGCCCATGCAGGACCAGCTGAGCCTGTGTCAATGCCCCTCAGTGCTCTGTGGTCCCAGAAGGCAGCTGCCTGGCACTCTCCCCACAGGGTTCCCGCACTGGTTCCTACACGACAGACAGTACACACACCTCGATGGCCTTGTAGAAGATGCTGGTGCCGATCTGGACCACCTCCAGATTCTGCTCCTGCTCATTCCGGGCACACTTGATGTAGGTCATCCAGCTTCGGTGGTCCTCCTGGCTGGCATCGATGAAGTAGCGCACTGTGCCATCTTCATTGAATACCTGGGCGCAGGTGGGGCAGGGAGCAGGTGAGGCAGGGCTGTGCACATGTGTGGTTTGTGGTCAGGGTCAAACCCCAGGCCAGCCGTACTCTTACAACAGCCCCAGGAAGTGGAAAAAGCTATCATCACTTTTGTTTCCAGCTGAGGAAGGGGAGGCAAGGGGCGCAGTGATTGGCCTGAGTCTAGCTGGCTAGAGGTTGTCAACAGGAGCCTGTCTCCGGGGCTCTACAGGCTGACCACACCATGCTCCTGCTGCCAGCTACACCCCAGCCTCAGAAAATAAGGGGGTCTCCAAGATATCATTCCAAGGGATCTTCTGGAGGATGCAGAGGTACTCTCCAGAGCAATGAGGAGCATTGGCCAGGACCTAAGAGGGGGACACAGCAGCCTGGAGAGGAAGGCTGGCTCACTGTGGCACTGGTCTGGCCTAAGCCTTTTTCTGGGAGCTGCCAAGAGCACTCAGAGGTCAAACTACACCTTGACTTTCTGACCCAGCCACAACTGGAAAAGATAACCACTGGTCCAGGACTCAAGAGGAAAGGAGTTAAGTGAGGAGAGGTCTCTGKGTCACCCCCCTGTTCCCTTCCTCCTGCTCCTGTGACCAGCTATAGGATTGCCTCATTGGGCTCCTCTAGGATCTGCCAGGTGGAACCCTGGGGGAGCCATAAGGGAGGGAAGGAGTGCACCATCTGGCCTTGGGGTTTTCAATTCCACTAGGTAAGGGCCCCAGAAGGAGGAATCACTGCAGGAGTGGCTTTGTCCTAAGGGAGGCCCTCCCTGCATCTAACACTGTGAGGGTGGAGTAGGGTCAGGAGACCTGGAATGGAAAGCCCCTCTGAGCCTCAGTTTTCTTCAGTAAAGAGGAGATGATCACTCACAGGGCTGCTGAGATACCCCACGAATTGCCAGCTGGGGATTCAGATACCGGTTCAATGCCAATCAGCAACCATCATTTTGGATGTTACTCTGCCCGGAGAGGGGAAGCCCGTTCTTAAGAAGGACAGACTTCTGCCATTTTCCATTCCAGACACCTTACCCCAGGTTGGGGCTTGACTTGAGGGTATCCCTTGCTACTTCTGTAGCCCGAGAAAGAATGTGGGTAGTGGGGAAGTCCTCCCCAGGGATGGCTTCTGAGCTGGCCTCAGGACCCAGATGGACTCTCCATCTCAGACCCTCCCTGTGAAATGGAGGCAACATCCTGGTACTCGGGGTTAGCCCGAGAAAGGAGGGTCAGATTTTTCTCCACTGTGGCCTACCCAGGGCCGGGCAGGGAGGGACCCCCAGGAAGTGAAAGCTCCATGCACACGGAGGTTTTAAGGGTCCTTCTCAGGGGCATCCAGGCCGCCAGTGACCTCAGCTCCCAACAAGAAAACGGGCAGCAATGGGGCCAGACTCTAGAACCTGTCTGCCGACAGCGGACAGCAATCCTTGCCTACYGCTGGCTCCTCTCCCCCAGTCCACTCTTACCTCCCACATCAGGTTGTTGTTCTTGCAGATGTCCACGTGCTCTGGAGCGATGACACGGCCCGTGAAGGGGCCCATCTCGGTGCCTGCTTTGATCCACGTCTTGGAGAAGATGCCAAGGCCCTCTCCAGGGATGGAACTCTGGGCGATGATCACCTCCACCGGTAGAACCAGGCTGGACAGCTTCTGCACCTCTGCCGCCAGATGCAGAGGAATCTGGTCAAAGCCTTCGCAGAGGAGGCCCAGCCCTTCTGGGCCCAGGACCCCTACCCAGGTCCTGCCCAACCCGGCCAACCCCAGCGGCCACAACTGCGGAGAAATCTCTCCAGTGATGGAGGAGTGGGCAAGCGCAGAGGCTCAGCGATCAGTCTCCTCTGTTTGCAACGAAGGACCCTTGGTACCCTCGAAAGCAAGTGGTGCGTTGGGGTTCGTTTCTAAGGGCGAATTTTTAGTTTCCACTTATTCTCAAAATATTCTCTACTCCGAAAGGTTTAAGAACTAATGCGCCGACTGCAGAACTCGGGTTTACAGACGGGAAAACTGAGGCCTGGTCCCGCGAGGAGGTAACGACCAATCCGGGACTCTCGCCCAGTCCTGCTCCAGGCGCCGCAGCCGGTGAGTTCACGCGCAGTGCGCTTAGAGGCACAGGGCACGGGCGGAGGAGCCCGGACGTGGTCAGCACTGAGGACAGATCTCCGACTCCAAGATCGCAGAGGCGGAAAAGAAACACTGACAGTGAAGGACTGGGCTGGGCTCTGGCTGTGTGACCCCGGGCAAGCCCTCCCTGCTCCTAGGCTCTGGGTGCCAGGGAGGGCGGYGCTGGGCTCAGGCGGCTCTGAAGTCACCTCTGCCGGCCGGGAAGAGCCAGCGGCCCCCAACCTCCTGAGGGTCCCCCTGTTGGGCCTCTGCGGCCGGGGTGGGAGCGGAGAGGCATACAGGGGCGGCCTCCATGTCTTACAAGGTTCCCCTCTAAGCTACCTGGGAAAATACCCAGCGAGCGGACCGGCTGAAAGGGGGGGGTTAAACGGTGTCCGTTGCGGCGCGGCTGGCAATTTGTCACGCTGTTAAAGTGATCGCATTCATTCGGCTCCATTCGAAAGAAATTGCTAATTCTAAATTCATTAGCCCTGGAAGAATGCTGTAGCAGTAAATTGTAGCTCAATGCGGAGGGGACTTGTTTAAAAGGGGCCGAGGAATTCCCCTTACAAAAAGGGGGGATTAGATGGTTGACATAGCGTGAATGGAAGTGGAATTAGTCTTCACGGTAAATTAAGAGAGGAACAGAAATCGTAAAGGGGGAAGAGAGGGCGACGCGCAGAGATGCCAGAGCCCGGGGAAAGATATTGTTTGTGGGTTGATGAATGAGGAATAAGAACTTGAGACATCTTAAAGAAAAGAAACTTTTCTCGCTCTCTTTCTCTCTCTAGCTCTCTGCGGCTTTTTCTCCAGGCCCGCCCGCCCTCGGCCCCCTCCCGGGCCCCCGCTGCCTTTTAAAGTTCTTGGTTTAAGTGGGAACTTTCGGGGGTCAAGCCCAAGTTAACTAAATGAATTTTAAACCCCTTCTTTTTGAGTCAACTGCTATTACACGCCTAGTAAGGCTTTAAATGCCGGGAACCGCCCGCTCAAGGCGGAGGGTGGGGTGAGGAGAGAAGGGCAGGGGAGCGCCCGGAGCCGTGGGGCCTGTGGCTGGGATCCGGTCCTTGAGAGCGCTGGGCGCTGGGCTGACCCCGGCCCCGCCCTGGCGTCGCTGCTTGAGCCCTGGTTTAACCCGGGGAAACTAAGTGGCGGGAGCACCCAGGTGGATCTGAGCTGCCACCAGGTCTGGTATCCCCGCTGTCTTCCTGTGGTGGCCATCCTGGGGGTTGGGGGTCCCCGGGAGGAGAGCATGGGGTTAGCTTCGACGGCTCCACTCACCTCCAGAGAAGGACTGCGCCAGGACTTCAGCGGTGAAGGCCGTCTTGGGGCTGGCATGGTGACTCTTGTCCTCCAGGAGCTGTTCTCCCAGCACGTTGCGCCATCGGCCGTATAGGAAACTGTGCAGGATGTCGGAGGTGATGACCTCGGCTAGTGCCAGCCCCGGTGCTTTCAGCCCCGTCTTGAGCACCAGGGCTTCAGCCGGGAGCACGGAGCCCATCATGGGCGGCCGGGGCTCGCCGGCGCCGGTGAAGGGCAGTCGGACAGATGCGCGGAGGTGGGCGGTGGAGAGGGGAGCCGAGGAGCCGAGGAAAGAGCTGAGACGGAGAAGGAGAATGGTGTGGAGGAGGAGTATGCGGGAGGGAGTGGGTGGCGAGGGGGTGGCTGGGAGGAAAGTGAACCAGGGGGAGACAGGCAGAGAGGAAGAGAGAAATCTGCGGAGATGGCTGAGGCGGCGCAGAGGGCTGGAGAGGCGCGGGTGGAGGCAGAGGCGGGTGCGGGAGGTGCGGGGTAGGTGGGAGGCAGTGGATGCAGAGAAACGCCGGCGAGGGGCTCTCGGACGCACGCTCGCCTCTCGCACACCCAGCCAGGACCGTCTTCCCCTTGGCAAAATCTCAGCGCCTTTATAGGAGCCGCAGTGACCCTCCTAATTGGTTATTAATGACCCCCTGACGTCGGAGGACAGACTTGTTGTACCCGGCCTGGCTCTGAGGAGCCTTCGCTGCGAGAGCGCGAGGGGCGGGGGCTCGAGGACTGCTCCGAACTGTTCCCCTCCGCATCTCCCTCCCCTCCTGGTCCTGCTCCCCCTCCTCTTCCTCCTCCTCTCCCCGTGGGAAGCGCCAGGCCGGGAGGGAGGCTCAGCCCGCAGGGAGTAGAGGAGGGGTCGGAGCAGGGGAGAGGCGCGGCGAGGCTCTCAGGGACTCCAGGGACTGGACAGGACTGGAGGGGACACATGGCCTCGGCCCCATGGGCCAGCAGTCACCTCCTGTCCAGGCAAGATCCCTGCTCGCCATCCCGCCCGGGCCGTCACCTTCCCTCCACTGCCTTCCCTCACAGCTCGGCCAGCACCGCGCTCCCCTCCCTGGTCAGGACCCGGGCTTCGCCTTTCTCCCACACCCCATTCTCCGCGGGGCTCCACGCCCCCGGCTGCAATAGTTGCCCAGCGGCCCGCAGCTCCTGCTCAGACCGCGCTAATCTGCGCAGACCGCGCTGCAGAAGCCGGGGTTTCGCTTTACACGGGCCGCGCCAACTGCCCTGCACGGTGCGCGCAGTCGGTTACAAAACATCTCCGACTTTGAGGGCTGCCTGGGCTGGGCCTCTGTTGCCGTCGGGGTTGGCCCGGTGTGAGATGGCTGTGTGGGCGGCCGGACTTCCTGCCCCAGGAGGGCTAGGTTGGGGGGTCTGGAGCGGCTGACCGAAATTCATACTGCCTGCCAGTTACTTGCAAAAGGCTTTCCTGCGGGATACCATGAGTCCCAAAAGGGGTCCCTGGACTTGTCGTGGGTGGAAACTGCCGAGCCTCAGAGTGAACGCCCTCCGAAGCCTCCAGCTGCGCGGCGACGGGTCGCGGTGCGGCTTCGCTGGCGACTCAGCCTCCGAGATACATCCTGGGGAAGCCGGCTGCGTCCTCTCTCTTCCTTGCTCCTAGCTCTTTCTCATCAGCCTTCCTTCTCCTTCCTCCCTTTCCCCCTCTCCTACTTCACCCCAGTAGAAGACTTTCTGGCCCGATGCTTACAAGACACTTCGGATCGCCTCTCCTGAAACCGGAGTTACTGAGCCCAATCCAAGGTGGGAAAGCCACAACTTCTTGCAGGCTTGACTGCCTCTGGGATTAACCACACGCCCGCCTCCGATCCCAGCCCCAGACACACCTCGTGATGGGGGACATTAGGAACAATCCCTCAACTGCCAAAGTCCTTGGCCCTCCCACCCCCACACTTGTGAAGTTCACTTAAGATACCGCAGAGGGAAGTGTTCTGCACCTTCCCAGCTAGTTTGGGCTCATAGATTAGGTCTCAATTGGACATTGCCAACAACTCAGAACTTCCTTGAAGTTCGCAAACTTGGTTGGAGGAAAGGTGTCCTGTACTCCCACAAGCCAGACTCTGTCTCAATACCCTTTGGAAAAAAACCCCGCTGGGCCTTTGCTAAATCTGCCTCAACCTGGCAGCCATGGATCCCAGGCCCAGGCACTCCAGTTTTGGCCAGTGGTCTCTGACATTCGGGTCCTGCCTGGGGAAATTGGGAAGGGAAGGCACCCAGAGAGTCTTCAGACCCTGCACCCAGATTCACCTTAGCCTGGCGTCCAGGGCAGGCACCGCAGAAAGCAGAACCATCGGGCACCGCGCCAGCAGAGGGCAGCCCTGCGGAGGAGCAAGCACAGCCGGCAAGGTAGGGTCCCAGAACCTCCACTCCCTTTCGGATGCCGGATGCCGCCAGCAGGACTCGCTAGTTCACTCCTGAGGGCTCAAATCTGAAAGGGCGATTAGAATCCAATGGTTTATGGCAAGAAGACCTAACTGGCGCCTGGGCCTTGGCTTCTACTAGACTAAATGGAGAGGAGAATGCGCCAGGGTACCGGAAAGGAGACTACGTCGGGGAGCAGTGCTGGCAAACGTGCTCTCGGCTCCCAGGGCCGGAAATCTACTTCATGGCTCTCGAGAACGGATACGCGTTCTACTCTCTAGGCCTCAGTGTTCCTGTCTGTGCAATGGTTTGGGTCGTACTTTGAGGACTGAAGTTTCTTCCTACCTTGCCTCTCTTTGGGTCAGGTCACTTCCCCCTCCCCCAAATCCTGAGGATTTTGACATTCCCATGACGCTCCCCACTGAGAAAAGCCCTCAGGTCTGTGCGTCCTTCCGTTCCGGGGCGCAGAATTTGGGTTCCAGATCCCAGTTTGAGGACAGAAGATGCAAGGACCCTGGGCTCCGCAGTGGCCAGGGAGTCCCATTCCCTTGCTCTGCTCGGAATCAGCAAACCTGGCAGGCAGGGAGGGCCAGAAGCAAAGGTCAGAACAACCTTCCAGCAGGCAGGCCCGCAGATCTGGGGCGTCTCCAGGGCGCTTTCGCATTTTGAGTTTCTGGCCTAGCAGTACCTTCTCCCGGGCGCGCCCCTAGGAAAGGGAGCTCCTAGCCTCAGGGCCCATTGGGATTGGGGAGCAAGGCCCCTGAGTTCGCTTCGCGTGGTGATGTGGAGGGGAAACATCACACGTTCCGGTGGTTCCAGCGGATGAACCGCGTCCTTTTCTTCAGGGCCCAGGCGCAGTGTGTGCCCGCGCCGAAGACCCCTCCCTTGGACCGGCCGGCCGGAGCTGGCAGGCGCCCCCCCACCCTCGCGCCCACGGGCCGCCGCTCCGCGATCTCTTTAATATTCATGGGCGTTAATAGAGAAGCCCCCAGTATATCGGGCCATTGTGGGCGGCTCGTAGGGCTTGAATAGGCCTCGGCCCCCTTTCTTCAGCAGGGCTTCCCGAGGGGCCGGGCCAGGAGTGAATGGCCCCGCTTCCCGCTCCGCGCCCCCTCCCCCTTTCAGGGAGAACATCTTTATCCCCGCCGCCGCCGCCACCGCTGCCGCCCGGGCCCCCGGTCCCGGCTCCGAGCGGAACGAATCAATCGGCCGCGGCTCTTCGGAGGTCATCCTCACAGCCCGGTTCCCCTTCCCCCCTAGCCCACGGGAGTAGGAGAGAGGGAGGCAGAGGCAGGCCACAGACCCAGGGACTGGGGGACACTCTGGAGCCGGTGTGGAAGAGAAGAGCAGGGGCGACCAAAAGGGATAGCGGGGRCCGCCCGGAGCCTGCTAATTTCTACTTGTTGCCTAGCGCAGGGCGGAGCGCCGAGGGGACCTGCCGGTGGTCCTCGTTCAGTGACGCGTCCTGCCTCCGGTAGAGGCCCCAGCGCGCACCCATTCAGGCCCCGCCTGGCACCCACGAGGCACAGAGCGCTGGGGAGCAGCCCGAGGCTCCCAGTCTCGGCACATCAGCCGGCGGGGCACTTTCGTTCTCGTCGGTGCGTCGCGACGGTCCTCTCAGGCCAGGACACGCACTTCAGTGGGACGTCTGGAGCCGAGGCCAGGTTCCCGGCTCCTGCGCCGGCTCCCCGCGGCTGGGCCCGGGTGCCTGGGGGCGCGAGTTGATCAGGCGGGGCCAAAGCGCACGGGTCCCCGCCCCTACCGCCCCGCCGGCCTGGGGAGGCGCAGAAAGAAGCCCATTGTCCGCGGAGAAATACATTTTTGGGGGCTGAGTGAAAGCCCCTTTCTTTTGAACTTTAGAAGAAAGTCTCCGGCCCTCGCCCCTCGGAGGGAGAGATTTGTCTCCTCCCTCCCGGGGGCTCCGCTCGCCTCCTCCTCCCGAAACATCTGCCGGGCGAAAATCCACCCTGGAGGGCAGATCTCTCTGGCTTTAAGCCCCGCGAACTCATTAAAAAGATATTAGCGACGGGGGCAGGTCCCGCGCAGGTATCGATCGACCGGAATGAGCCCGAGGAAAAAAGGCGAAGAATGTGGCCGCGCCCGGAACCCCCACCCGGGTCCCCAGCCCCCTGCGCCCCAACCCTGAGGCGGGAGTGGGGCCCCCGCGCCCCCCTGCGTCGTCCGCGCGTCCCTCCTCATTTGGTGGCTTCTCGATAGCCCCTCCCGCGACTCGGTCCTTGCTTGCTCGGGTTTCCGTCTGCTCCTTGCGCTCCGGGTGCGCTTGCTGCCGTCGCGCTGTCCCTACCTCTTGTCCCCCACCCCCCACCCTACCCGGTCTCCACCTCTCCTCCCTTCCTCCGCAATGTCCTCTTTCGCCTGCGCTCTGAGACCCTCTCCCGCTTTCTCACACACTCTCAGCTTCCTCCTCCCACGTCTCTCTCTCGACGAGTCTCAGTCTTTCTTTTCTCCATTCCCGCGGTGGCCCGGGAAATTCTCTCCTTGCTTGGGGCCCATGTGTCCGGTCCCACCCATCCCGGGTTCCCGTAGGACCGTGCAGGGCTCCAGGGCGCCCCCTGCGGCGCGGACAAAGGCGCGACCCGCTGCCCATGTGGTGTGGGACCTCGGGCGGCTGGACCAGCTTCAATAGACGTGACTTGGGACCAGCCCAGCCTGCTGCCCGGCTGCCTGGCAGAGTAGCGGACGTGAAGCGGTGAATAGGGACAGCGGTCTCCCCTCCCCCGCAGCCTCACTCCTACCCTACCTAATTAGCCTCGGAGGCCTATGGCGAGACAAAGGCGCGCCCCGGGGCTCCCACGT